ATAATTTAAATAATTTGATCAAATTAGGTTAGATTAGGTCAGGTCAGGTCAGGTCAAATAAAAATTTAAATCAGGTCGGATTTTTGTTTGACCTGACCTGATCCTCTCAGTTCAGGTAACTTGATTGACCCAATCTGAACTGACCTGTTCAGAGCTCTAATTTAGATTCAACTGGAACACCTAATTCAACAATCGATACTCTAGTGATACTAGGTTTATTAACTGTGAAATTGAGGCTTTCAGAAAATATGAATAATGCTATAATTTTAAATATTAACGATTATCATAATATCCATACTAAAAGAATACCTAACACAATTACAACATCAACTGCAGCATATCTCACTACTGTTTTACTTAATCTAATAGAAAATGAGCTAGCAATACCAAAGCAAGATATTCATAATCCTATATTGGTTGATGCTTCATTAATCAAAATCAGTGTTGATAACTATTTGATATCACTATATTCATTCTTTTATAATCAGCGTTGGAGATTTCGTTTTGTGAATGACAAAATAAAACTTAAAGAACTAATGATTCATAGTTATGATACTCATTTAAAAGAAAAGAGAAATGCCTAATCAATAAAAGATGTGATGCTTACGGACCTTTTGAAAAATGATCTTTATTCAGTATAATCTTACATTAATGCTACTAATGCAGTCACTTCTATTCTTACAATTGATAGGTATATTAAAGCAGGCAATGTTATCCTGATCGTAGCTGATTAGCCTAGTCAAATTTACATAAAAACAGCTATATCTTAATATCTTGTTCATGTCAATTCTTCTTGAGATTTTATTTTACCTTTCGATGATGGGTCTTTTGTACATTTTCTTAAATAGCTGTGAGTTAGTCTTTCTCAAATACCAACCATTCTTTTCTGCAATGTACAAATATATATTTAGCGAATGAAAACTGCTTGTTCAGAAGCTGAAACTATGACATATAAACTTATTATTAGAACTTTCACATAGTACATAACAGGAAATCACACCAGTAGTTAAAGTAAAATTTGGTCGCGTATGTAAAGATGCAGAATATATGGGGCCTTTGCAATAGAAAGGGAGGAAACTCCAAAAAAATTAAAATTTTAGTTTATAAGCCAAAAATG